CATATATAAGTGTGAGTTAGGTGAACCCATATGTAAGTGTGAGAGGTGAACCCATATGTAAGTGTGAGAGTTAGGTAAAATCATATGTAATTATGAGAGTTAGGTGAACCCATATGTAATTATGAGAGTTAGGTTAACCCATATGTAAGTGTGAGAGTTAGGTGAACCCATATGCAAGTGTGAGAGTTAGGTGAACCCATATGTAAGTATGATAGTTAGGTTAACCCATATGTAAGTATGAGAGTTAGGTGAACCCATATGTAAGTATGAGAGTTAGGTGAACCCATATGTAAGTATGAGATGTAGGTGAACCCATATGTGAGTATGAGAGTTAGGTGAACCCATATGTAAGTATGAGAGTTAGGTAAAATCATATGTAAGTGTGAGAGTTAGGTGAATCCATGTGTAAGTATGATAGTTAGGTGAACCATATGTAATTATGAGAGTTAGGTGAACTCGTATGTAAATATGAGAGTTAGGTGAATCCATATGCAAGTGTGAGAATTAGGTGAAACCATATGTAAGTATATATATAAGTATTACAAGGGTTATTTATGAAGTAATATATAATATTTATAAATCTGATGTTTAGGTCTGTTTGGAGAAGGGCCGGCAGACAGGAGAGAACGTTTGCGACAACATCTTGCCAATTTGGGAGAGGAATATGTACTGAAAGAAAAGAAAGAAGAACCACAGAAAACTGAGAAAAAGGTAATTTATGTTGTCCAATGCTTTGTATTATAAATAATGTTCAATCATTGTTAATTGTAATTAAATCATTGATAATTGAAAATCTTGTTTTTTGTGGCAGTATGAACAGAAAACGTGGTACCATGAAGGCCCAGCAAGTTTGAAACAAGCTCGATACTGGATTGCTGATTACTCACTACCAAGGTACGTATGCTGGAAGAATCATTGATACATTAAAACCATGGTTACAGGGGTTGTTTAAACCAGTACTTTGCAATTATTAACCCCAGCAATGTTTCAAGCAGTCACATTAATGACACTCATCTAAACTGATCACCAAATAAAAGCATTATTTCAGTTAACCATTTCACCACGAAACTTTCTCGCCTACATTTTTCTGTACTTTTTTCTATTATATTTATCAATATTTCTGGAAATAAACCTATATTTTGAAGCCAACAGACAAAATTTGAGTCAAGTTTCAGTTTTACTCAAAAAAATTTGGATATTTTTGTTCCAATATTCTGAAGGAAAGTGCAGACTATAAATGGGACTATTTTGTGAATTTGTGATGAAAACAGGAAACTGGCGATGAAATGGTCAAGGTTGGTCAATACAGTTTTGTAAGAACCTTTGGATGTTTTTATGTTTTGCAAATATTGCTATACAAAGTCGAATCTGAAAACAAAAATAGGGGTAACAAACCAAATGTTTTAGATAAACTTTATATTACTGTACATGAATTCAGAGTTAATACATGGAGAACAAATAAAACACAAACTGTTCAAATAGAAAGTTCTTTGAAATTATTTTGAAACACAAGTACTGTAAAATCTGTATTAGAAACCGCAGCTTCCATTAAAATGGTACAATGCAACTGAGGGCTTCTATTAGAGCATCTACACATATGAGAAATGGTGAATTTTGGTTCTCAATTCTTCAAAAAGAATGGGTGTGTCTTCTATTAGGGATGCGGCTTCAAATACAGATTTTACACTATGTATTTAAAAGTAAATAATAGGGTACATACTGATTTGTACAGAATTTTAAAGTTTTAATAGTTTGTATTTAATATATGCAATAGAACACGTTTCCATGGGGAAGCTCCTGTGTTTTCACTTCAAACACACATACAAGGTCAAGGTCTGTGGAGAAGAGATTTTCCTTGTCTTGATGTTTTTTTTGATTTTATCACAGGTGAATCATGATACAGCAATACTATGTAAACCAAATCGTATTTGGTGTAAATAATTTCCCATTGTTATGTTTACAGAGCTCAAGCTAGGCTGGAAGAGGCAAGGAAAAACAAAGCCATCCCAGATTCACAGACCAATGCAAAGCGACAAGAACTTCATAGATTCATCAGAGTAAGATGAGATTTTTGTACGGTCAACGCAACAAACCCATTCCTTTCATTTTCATAACATTTATCAATGTTAATAGTAGCTGAATCCAATCAATGAATGTTATGTCATTTTAAAATGTTCAAAATTAATGTTATGTCATTGGCCAGTAGAAACCTGTTCAATTTGAATTGTAAAATTTGAAAATATTTATAAAAATATGGGAAATGGGTTTGTTGTGTCAACAGGTTCATATATAATTCTACATTATTGTTGCATTAATGCCAGGATGTTCTATGATTATTACATATTTTATTTTATTTTCAGTCTCTTAACAACCAGTGTAGTCAGATTGGTGACACCCGACCCATATCAAGTTGTCAATTCAGTCCGGACGGTAAAATATTGGCCACTTCATCATGGTATGTACATTGTATTTGTAATTATAATGAAGTGCACCCTTTTTGGATCTTGATAAATTTGTGCAATAAAGTAAATATGGAAAAACAAAACACTTACACTCTAAAAAACAATATTTTTTTTTTGAAAATATAAAAAAAATAAGACAAATAATAGAAAAATAACTTGAATAAAATACATGTATATGGCAAATTTGTTATGATCTGTTGTAATGCTTTAAAGTCCCAATTTGTACATGTATGTCACGCTCATGGTCAACATTAACTTTATTTCATAAAATATGATGAAACATGTGATTTACTTATGAAAGGACTTTACCTAATTAATTTCATTTAATACATACAATCCAACGAAAGTGTTTTACTACTGTTCACTGATAGCATTGGCATTCTGTGAATCTCGAGTTAAATTTTTCCCCGACATCAGAAGAAGGATGGACTTATTCCTCCAGTGAAGGCCAAAGCCAATAGAAAAAAGTGTCAATGCATTGACAAATTTTATTATGAATAATACTCAATAATATAAATAATACTCTATGCTGACACAATTTCAAATTTAAATTCGTGCAGGGGGACTTTGTCATTAACTTGATGACATGATTTACTATAATTTTCGTTTAAAGGCAGCAATATTTTAGGCCATCATAATTGTTAGCAACCTCCTATATACATCACCTATAAAACAGTCAATGTTACTGTGTTTATTACAGGAGTGGTCTTTGTAAACTATGGTCTATACCAAACTGTGAACTAATTCGAACACTAAGAGGTACAGTAATAGTAGCAACGAATTTGTTGTGTTTTCAGTCTGATTCAGGTGTAGTCACCTCAAAGTGTGGTGTTTACAGTGTATCCATCTTGACAATGGAAAGTCTGATTCAGGTGTAGTCACCTCAAAGTGTGGTGTTTACAGTGTATCCATCTTGACAATGGAAAGTCTGATTCAGGTGTAGTCACCTCAAAATGTGGTGTTTACAGTGTATCCATCTTGACAATGGAAAGTCTGATTCAGGTGTAGTCACCTCAATGTGTGGTGTTTACAGTGTATCCATCTTGACAATGGAAAGTCTGATTCAGGTGTAGTCACCTCAATGTGTGGTGTTTACAGTGTATCCATCTTGACAATGGAAAGTCTGATTCAGGTGTAGTCACCTCAAAGTGTGGTGTTTACAGTGTGTCCATCTTGACAATGGAAAGTCTGATTCAGGTGTAGTCACCTCAAAGTGTGGTGTTTACAGTGTGTCCATCTTGACAATGGAAAGTCTGATTCAGGTGTAGTCACCTCAAAGTGTGGTGTTTACAGTGTATCCATCTTGACAATGGAAAGTCTGATTCAGGTGTAGTCACCTCAAAGTGTGGTGTTTACAGTGTGACCATCTTGACAATGGAAAGTCTAGTCTAATTCATGTGTAGTCACCTCAATGTGTGGTGTTTACAGTGTGTCTGTCTATGGAATGGCTCATTCAATAAATATGTTTTCTATACTATTGTACATGTAATTAATAAATGTGAAATATTTTGTGATTTTCAGGTCATAATCACAATGTTGGATGCATTGTATTTCATCCACAGGCTACCATTGGTATAGATAACTCGGCTTGTTGTATGGCGTCATGTGACGCTGATGGATCTGTTAAATTATGGTCATTAGAAAGGTGAGTTTCAACAATTTACACAATGACATTGCAATGTCAGACCCCGTCACAATGTCAGACCCCGTCACAATGTCAGACCCCGTCACAATGTCAGACCCCGTCGCAGTGTCAGACCCCGTCGCAATGTCAGACCCCGTCGCAATGTCAGACCCCGTCGCAATGTCAGACCCCGTCACAATGTCAGACCCCGTCACAATGTCAGACCCCGTCACAATGTCAGACCCCGTCACAATGTCAGACCCTGTCACAATGTCAGACCCTGTCACAATGTCAGACCCTGTCACAATGTCAGACCCCATCACAATGTCAGACCCCATCACAATGTCAGACCCCGTCACAATGTCAGACCCCGTCACAATGTCAGACCCCGTCACAATGTCAGACCCCGTCGCAATGTCAGACCCCGTCGCAATGTCAGACTCCATTACAATGTCAGACCCCATCACAATGTCAGACCCCATCACAATGTCAGACCCTGTGACAATGTCAGACCCCGTCGCAATGTCAGACCCCGTCGCAATGTCAGACTCCATTACAATGTCAGACCCCATCACAATGTCAGACCCCATCACAATGTCAGACCCTGTGACAATGTCAGACCCTGTGACAATGTCAGACCCTGTGACAATGTCAGACTCCATCACAATGTCAGACCCAATCACAATGTCAGGCCCCATCACAATGTCAGGCCCCATCACAATGTCAGACTCCGTCACAATGTCAGACTCCGTCACAATGTCAGACCCCGTCGCAATGTCAGACCCCGTCGCAATGTCAGACTCCGTCGCAATGTCAGACTCCATTACAATGTCAGACCCCATCACAATGTCAGACCCCATCACAATGTCAGACCCCATCACAATGTCAGACCCTGTGAGATTGTCAGACCCTGTGACAATGTCAGACTCTATCACAATGTCAGACTCCATCACAATGTCAGACCCCATCACAATGTCAGGCCCCATCACAATGTCAGGCCCTGTCACAATGTCAGACTCCGTCACAATGTCAGACCCCGTCACAATGTAAGACCCCGTCACAATGTCAGACCCGGTCACAATGTCAGACCCCGTCACAATGTCAGACCCCGTCACAATGTCAGCTCCCATCACAATGTCAGTTCCCATCACAATGTCAGGCCCCATCACAATGTCAGGCCCCGTCACAATGTCAGACTCCGTCACAATGTCAGACCCCGTCACAATGTCAGACCCCGTCACAATGTCAGACCCGGTCACAATGTCAGACCCCGTCACAATGTCAGACCCCGTCACAATGTCAGCTCCCATCACAATGTCAGTTCCCATCACAATGTCAACTCCCATCACAATGTCAACTCCCACTCGTGTCCTGGTATTTTCTTGGGGGTCACAAACATTTTTCGCACAAGACATGAATGTCATAGTCCCTGTTATTAGTCCCTGTTCGGACGAAGTCCGAAAACAGGGACTTATAATTCGGTCTCCGTCTGTGCGTCCGTCCGGAGTCATATCTCAGAATCCCTTGGACTGAATCCGTTCATTCTTTGCATGTGCCTAGTACTTTATCTGAGACATATGCACATGCAGTGGTTTAGCGATTCGATTCAAAATGGCCGACTGGCAGCCATCTTGTTTTTTGAAAATTTTGTATTTTGGACATGCTTTGTCAGTTTTCATTCAAATTTGGTACATAGATTATACATTTTAGGATACATGTCCATGACGATTTATTTCACAATTGGATCAAAGATGGCCGACTGGCAGCCATCTTGTTTTTTGAAAATGTTGTATTTTGGACATGCTTTGTCGGTTTTCATTCAAATTTAGTACATCGATCATACATGTTAGGATACATGTTCCCGACCATCCGTGAGTTCCTGAGTCTGTCCGTCCGTTCGTGCGTCAGTCTGTCAATAGTAATATTTCAGAATCCTGTGGATTGATTCCGTTCATTCTTTGCATGTGCCTAGTACCTTATGTGGGACATATGCACATGCAGTGGTTTTGCGATTCGATTCAAAATGGCGTCCTGGCAGCCATCTTGTATTTAAAAAATGTTGTATTTTGGACATGCTTTGTCAGTTGTCATTCAAACTTGGTACATAGATTATACATGTTACGTTACATGTCCAGTACTATTTATTTCGCAATTGGATCAAAGATGGTCGACTGGCAGGCTCTTGTTTTGTTTTTTTATGCGGTATCTTGGAAGTGCTCTGTCAGTTTTCATTCAAATTTGGCACATACATGTACTTTATACATGTTAGGATGCATGTCCATAACAATTTGTTTCAAAATCTGGTCAAGGATGGCCGATTGTCAGCAATCTGACTTTTTGGCCTTACCGGTACTACTATATTTCCACAATTTATGTACCATTTTCATTCGTATTTGGCACATACATCATACATATCAGTGTGTTTCATAATCAGATCAAAGATGGCCAAATAACGGCTGTTTTTATTTTTGACCATATTACTACTACTCTGAACACGTGTTTTGATGTAAATAAACAATATGCTGTATATACCACTTGTTTTTTGTAATTTGATTCAATATGACTGCCCAATGTCCAATTCTTGTGTAAAAGCACTAAATCATAATTTTTTTACAAATCCATCTCCTATTAATGGTTTCAATCTAATCTCAATGACTTCATCAGCATCAAATTGATATGTCAGATCACAAAATTTGGGACGGGGACGGTGTCATTAGCAATGACTTGTTTAATTATAAAATACTCATGTTAAAATAATATATAGAACATCTGCAAACAGTTGAATTAATATGTACTCTATGTGGGTACAACTCATCATAAAGTGATTTCCCTTAATCTGATAACTGAAAACTTTCATTGACTGGGGTCTAAAATTTCAGAGTACACAAGTGCAACCAAACTATGTCTCATACATGCTGAACAAACTGCATTCATAAATCTGAGTAAACCTTGATGTGCCTTTGATAACAACTTGACTTCTTCGTTAATTCAGGTCTTTGTATATTACCAGGACCTGGGTTTGTTTCAGTATGACCACTATAATTCCCATCAAAATGTAGCCCTGACACCCCTCTACAGTTTCCACTGAGATTGGTAATGGTACGACCCATCTGTCACTGATTCAGATCAAGGTCATGATATCACTAAAAACCCTAGCATTACAATCTAAGCTAATTATTCTGAGCATGCTTAGTGGTGCTGGTGGAGGTAGTTTTTGGAAAAAATCATGAAAAAGACCCACTTAGAATTTTCAGATCTGGAAAAAAAATTACGTGCATATTCGGCAGGGACCTGTTCATCAACCTGCCAAATTTCATCGATATCTGCTGCAGAATTTCTGAGAAAATGTTAGAGACGTCACAGACGGAAATGGGAAATAAATATATTTATATAGTTTGTACAACTATTTAGCCAAAGAAGTAAACTACAAGTGTAGTGTTATGCATACTAATGAATGTTTGATTGATTTCAGTGATGAACCAGTGGCTGATATTGAAGGACATACACAGAGAGTAACCCAAGTACAATACCATCCATCAGGAAGATTCCTTGGTACCACATGGTAAACTAAAACTTCTATTTATACTATTGGGTTAAAATTGCATTCCCACTTTGCAAATATGTGAAACATCAATCCCAGAAAAGCCTGAAAGTATAAAATATTTTAAAATAATGCTGTTTTAGGGAAAAATATGAGATACTCTCATTTCATTTCGATTGTCCTTGAGTGTTTTATTTTTTATACCTACCTTGGTACAATTGTGCCGTTCACATTAGTGATCTCAGTATGTGTCGAAATTTGGGGCCGTGTCGGCATTTGTTGGTCGGGACTGAGTTGGTCCTGACCATGTAACGTGAATGCAACTGCTGTTACACTCTTGGCAAACATAATGGATTACAAATGGTTGTCACATGCCAAGACCCTATTATGTGAATGTAGCAAATTTAAGGTAGAGATGCAGTTAACCTGACAGGTATTTTAATTAGTTAATTAGGAAACCAAGATGACCTCACATATTCACAAACTATATATTTTCGGAAAGCTTATTGTATGAATTTTAAAATTTTGTTAGTATTTTTTTTCTATGGACACTGTAGTTTGAAATATGCACAAAAATGTGCTTTTTTGGTCAAAAGTGATTTTAAAAAAATTAGCTTCTAAACCATGCTTCTGTTTCCTGTCAAAATTGGTTTATGGGTACATCTGTTTACTATGATGGAAGTGTCGTCTTGAAAACTGTCTACCAGTTGTCAATTTTGCAGGGCAGCAGCTCAAATTTCACTACTTCAAGTTTATGCATAAATTAACACTCAGGCTAGTTGTCTGTACGATTGTTGTAACACTGTTCAACCAAAAACAATGCCCCGTCGGCGTTTTGAAGATAAACACATTGTCAATCATTTGTGAAAATTTCAAAACAAAAGGTCAAAGCGTCTAGGAGCTATTTTTTTAAAGTTCTGGGATGTGTACTAAAAAGAAGCTGAGATACTTGCTAATTTGCATAACAATTCACTCAGTAAGAAGTTTGCTAATGCTCATCATTAAAATGGCTGTAACAGTTCCAAATTTAAATGTATTATCGTTTTGTTAAATATAGTGCATAATAGGGAGATCCCGTCATTTCTTTTTTTCACCATGTTTCTTTTTTATTATTTATGTACAGCCTTGCTAAATCTTGCTAAGCATTCAAAAGAGAGAATGTTTTCATCTGTTATCTATATTTTAAAATCGTTTTTTGAGTATGTTCCACTATTCACAATTCTACAAAATTTTAACAGTCTATAGCCAAGACTGATTGGATAATAAAAAGCAAAAAAAAAAAAATTCACTCCAAAGTGCCCACGAACCTGCATCTTAACCTTAAGTGACCTTCAAGGACAAACAAAGCCCCTCACTCAGTCAATGTCTGTTGTTTACAAATCTAGCTTAATTTAAGTGGTTCTCTTAAATTAATATTCTGTAGTTAAGTTCTTCATTACCCATCTCAACATTTGACGATGTATATATTGGGCAGTGGATATTACTGCACAGGTTTGTAAAGTAGGAATGTAACTTTAAGGAAGGACTTGGCTAACTAGTGAAAATGCAAAAAATTTAAAAACATGACTTGATATTTTGCTGAGTGAAAGGTACTATCAAATAAATGACAAAAACACATACAATTTGTAAGTACTTGAACTTTTTTCCATGCTTTGACTTTGTGATTTGTTTATGGTATTAACAAATCAACTGCTAAGAGTCTCCATGGATAGTCATGGATAGCCGGTTGTATGTAGTTTAAAAAAGCTCCTGCAGGCAAAGTGTTGAGTGTTTAGCAGCCATTTTGAATTGAAAATTGATCAAAATACATACAATTAGATTCATAATTCAAAAACTTTTTTTTTTATTTGGAACTCAAAGGAAATAATCTTCATGAGCAATTAGCCATGTTCATTCTTTCACTGTTAGGAACATTATTTGTAATATAGTGTGATAGTCTGTGATGAGATGAACCAGTCGTTGGGTCGCACTTTCCATGTGCGTGTCCTACGAAGCTAAATGTAAGCCAGGTCTGGACCGTGCATTCACTGTATGTGGATATGTAAACATATAATGTGATCATTTCTAGCTATGACAGTTCATGGAGACTTTGGGATCTTGAAGTACAGGAAGAAATTCTACATCAGGAAGGTCACAGTAAACCGGCGTACTGCATGTCATTTCAATGTGATGGTTCTTTAGTTGCCACAGGGTAAGTATTGATTAGCATTTAATTAGGATTTACAAATGTTTCCATGGCCTTGACGAAGACAAAATCGTGATCAACAACACGACAACCATGGACCATGAAGCAGGTTTGTGTCCAGATGTTTTTTACTTATTCTTTCTGTACCAGTAAACGACATTTTAATGAAAAAGAGTTTGAATCAAGTCACATACCTGAATGGTCCGAAGAAATGATCTTCAGCAAGTATTGTTGTATAAAATAAGCACTCTTGAACTCAATGAGTTGTTGAATAAAAATTGTTATACAATAACATTTTGCTCCTCTTTATTTATTTATTTATTAAAATTTCTTAAATTATCAACTCACACTGTTTATTAGTCCCCGTCCGTCCGGAGTCGTATCTCAGAATCCCTTGGACCGATTCCGTTCATTCTTTGCATGTGGTTAGTACTTTATTTGGGACATATGCACATGCAGTGGTTTAGCGATTCGATTCAAAATGGCCGACTGGCAGCCATCTTGTTTTCTGAAAATGTTGTATTTTGGACATGTTTTGTCAGTTTTCATTCAAATTTGGTACATAGATTATACATGTTAGGATACATGTCCATGACGATTTATTTCACAATTGGATCAAAGATGGTCGACTGGCAGGCATCTTGTTTTGTTTTTTTATGCGGTATCTTGGAAGTGCTTTGTCAGTTTTCATTCAAATTTGGCACATACATGTACTTTATACATGTTAGGATGCATGTCCATGACAATTTGTATCAAAATCTGGTCAAGGATGGCAGATTGACAGCAATCTGACTTTTTGGCCTTACCGGTACTACTATATTTCCACAATTTATGTACCATTTTCATTCGTATTTGGCACATACATAATACATATCAGTGTGTTTCATAATCAGATCAAAGATGGCCAAATAAGGGCTGTTTTAATTTTTGGCCATATTACTGCTACATGGAACACGTGTTTTGATGTAAAAAAACAATATGTTGTATACACCACTTGGAACTCAAGTTTCAAGGATACGCTCGCGACAACCACCCCCGCTTTAATATGACAAGCACAAAGAGAACTTTCAAAAATTTAACGGGGACTGTGTCATTTTCAATGACTTGTATTCCATGTTATACCAAAGATTATACGATAAGGGAATGCAACTTTTATAAACTAGCTAATCATATTTTGTGTGATTTGCATGTGTGCAGAATGTGTGAACACTTGTCAGTATAAAATATGGAAAAAAGAAATGAGCACGGTTAAATAACTGTATTCAAGGTACTCTGCAAATACACAAAAAAATAATCACCCTATCAGCATTTCTTTCACAGCCTCATTCATTTATAATTTTAGAAAGTTTGTGATCATCTCATTATTTGTGTGACTTCACAGATGTGATCTTCATCTCATATCACACGAGTTGCTGACCCTTACTTATATACCCTTGATTACACTTCATAAACAGTCACTGGATATGATGATGTGACAGTTATATCATTTGAAGTACTGAATACTTATACCTAGAAGTACCGGTATATATCAGAAAAAACTGATTGCTGTTGTCCAACAACCAAAAGCTGTAATCTATTTGTAACATGTTCTAAAAAGTCATTTATGTGTACTTCTACTGGTAATCGTGAAAATACGCTATTGAAAAACTACCCATGTAGTGATTAAATGGATATGTCTGCTGTAGATTCTTGGTATGCGGTTACATGGTACATGTATAAAAGCCTTGTGTTGCTTCACTGTGTGTTTAACCTAGCAAATAGACTTGTACATATTTAATTTACTGAATGAACATTTATACATGTATTTGCATTTAGCATGAAATAATCACATACGTTGAATACGCATTTGAAACCTTGCTTGTAATCAAAGTGTTATGAGTATGTGTAGGAACACTCTATTTGAGTGTTGTTATTTGAAGTAAAATACTGAAACCATGTTAGATTGGGAGTTGTTATTTAATGCTAATGTGTGGATGTGCGGATTTTAATTGCAGATGTATGTATAATGTTGGTACTGCTTAGTCAACAAAATCATGTTAAAATATTTGTCATTTCCTGTTGTACAGTAAAAATCACTGCAGTTCAATAATTGGATTGTACACCATTTGTATTTTTAATATTTACATGAGCCAAAATAGACATAAGACGTACGTACATAAAGAAAATTATTTGTAATAAACATGATTGATGTTGATTACTCTAAATGCAAGAAGTCACACTATTCATGGCCAGTTTCTAATAAACATGTGCAAACCAAAAGATGTTTATTAATAAAATATTATTTGATAAACTAATTAATTGTTGCAGTAAATTAATAAACAAAACAAAACATTGCTCAGGTTGAATTGTCAAGCCGAATCAAGTTCTGCAGTAAGTTTTTGCACCAAAAGTGGTCAATGTTATGACCATTTTGCTCCCTTATTTATTATTTTAGTTGAGCTTTAAACAAAAATGTGAAACTTACATTTTCTGTATCTTGAATCACCTGTCATTAATACAGCATTTACTGATATCGCTTTTTGTTTTCAGTGGTTTAGATTCATTTGGTAGGATGTGGGATTTGAGAACTGGACGTTGTATAATGTTTATGGAAGGTCATCTTAAAGGAGTACTTAGTATTGATATATCACCTAATGGGTAAGTAACTTTATGTTATAACACAGTTAGTCTGAAACTATCCATCTGATTGGCTGAAGCACAGTCCCTCTATCATAGTGTGACTTCTATCATAGAGGGACTGTGGCTGAAGCAAGGGCTTGTATCTGGCACGAGAAGACCTGTGATTCTGGCCCGCAACTGAGTGGCTTGAATATCTACTGAATCAAGAACTCTTGATTTGACACTGTTCATAGTTATTGCAGGTGTATGTTCAACTGATTAAAACAGGGAAATCTAGTAAAAGTACTAGTACAAATTATTATTCCCAAAAGTGTTAATATACATAAACTTTCTTTGACGAATGTGTGCATTCATTGCAGCACAGCGTTTGAATTGAACACGTGAGACCATTGCCACGTCCGTCGTTGCCACTTGCCGGGCATGTTGTCTTTTATGTAAATCAAACATAAATTCAAAGAATCACAACCAAAAACATTGTATTTTTTATGTGCAGATTTAGTGTATTACCACAAGTTTGTTGAAATATACAAGAATTGTTCATTTTCTTATGCGTCTAATTGTATGCTCTACAGAGTGTGAATGTGAATACAAAATCTTGAATGCGCACAGCGTGTAAATTCTAACCTCAAAATTTATTAGAATGCCAGTTTTAGAAAAGACTTTCTGGGTGTTTTGTTTGTATTAGTATATTCACTGGATTTTATTTTCACTAAATCAACCCTTCGGTGAAAATAAAGTATTTTACAGTACATGTACAGGTGTATGTTATCACAAATAAATATTTATTAAGTAATCAGTGCAAAGTGGACATATTTACAATAAATATTCAAATTTCTTGCTCTTAGTTACCACATAGCAACAGGTAGTGAAGACAACACAGTGAAAATATGGGATGTTCGTCAGAGGAAATGCATTTACACCATACCAGCACATACCAGTCTTGTATCTAGAGTCAAGTTTCAAAGTAAGTTGGGTCAAGTGTGTACTATTCAGTCTGTCTGCTTGTCTTGTATACTTGAAATGTTAAAGTTACATAATTCAAAAGATTTCTGATCAGTAATGGGAGTGTGGTGCCCACAAAGTTCACTTCACTTCATATGTCATCCACCTAGCTACAGGTAGCAAAAGTTGTGCATTATCAAAAGATCATTTACAATGTTAAGTATAGGTTAGATCATAGTCACAGAGGAGCATGATTTACCGACTTAGCACTGGCCAATCAGCTCGAGAAACAATTGGTATTAGCCAATCAAATCATAACATTTTAGTACATTATGTTACATTTTATCAAAATGTTGCAACGATGGCCTACGTGCTGCCAGAAGTGTCAGTTGAATGAACTAGATGTTTTCTGTAACTCAATGGATACTTTGTATCTGATCTTGGTGTTATAAATAAATTGTGATGAAAATCCTTTGTTTTCTTGCGTTTTTTCAGCCGTGATCTAAGTGAATTTGTGGTGAAATAGAACCACACTTTATCACGACTCTAATTGGTCGAGGGCTGTTTGCCATGTGTTAATTATATGTAAATTATGTCACATGGGATTCATATTGAAAATATTCACAAGAGATAGAAAGTCAGCAATATGAGAGAATACAAAGTTATACTAACCTTCGAATAATGATTTTTGTGAGTTTGTGTTCCTATCATGTGCAGGACAGAATGATTCCATGGTATTGTTACTATGGTACTACTACAATAGTTTTAACAAAATCATTTTTTTTTTTATTTCAGAAAGTAATGGTGATTTTCTGATCACTTCTTCCTATGATAACACTGCCAAGGTATAGTTTATAACTTACATTTATCTAATAATAGCAGACAACTATGTACCATAACATGGGAGCAATCTGTAAATATACAATGTATGCTGATACAGATACTGCAAATGTCACTTGTTTGTATCTGAGTTTGACATCAGCCTCAGATTTGGTGTCCAACAATGTAGATTCTGTTATCTGTGACAAAGATTTGATTCTGTCATCACTAAGAAATTATGATTACTTGTACCTGTGTACTGCCCAGCTACCAGTGTACTGTCCAGCTACCAGTGTACTGTCCAGCTACCAGTGTACTGCCCAGCTACCAGTGTACTGCCCAGCTACCAGTGTACTGCCCAGCTACCTGTGTACTGCCCGGCTACCTGCGTACTGCCCGGCTACCTGCGTACTGCCCAGCTACCTGCGTACTGCCCAGCTACCAGTGTACTGCCCGGCTACCAGTGTACTGCCCGGCTACCTGCGTACTGCCCGGCTACCTGCGTACTGTCCAGCTACCAGTGTACTGTCCAGCTACCAGTGTACTGCCCAGCTACCAGTGTACTGCCCAGCTACATGTACCTGTGTACTGCCCGGCTACCTGTGTACTGCCCGGCTACCAGTGTACTGCCCGGCTACCAGTGTACTGCCCGGCTACCAGTGTACTGCCCGGCTACCAGTGTACTGCCCGGCTACCAGTGTACTGCCCGGCTACCAGTGTACTGCCCGGCTACCTGCGTACTGCCCGGCTACCTGCGTACTGCCCGGCTACCTGCGTACTGCCCGGCTACCAGCGTACTGCCCGGCTACCAACGTACTGCCCGGCTACCAGCGTACTGCCCGGCTACCAGCGTACTGCCCGGCTACCTGCGTACTGCCCGGCTACCAGCGTACTGCCCAGCTACCAGCGTACTGCCCGGCTACCAGCGTACTGCCCACCAATCACCAAAATGTATCTTTTTCTTCTCTTATTAGGTATGGTCCCATCCTGGATGGTCGCCATTGATGACATTAGCGGGTCATGAGGGCAAAGTAATGGGGGTTGATGTGTCACCCAATGGACAACATATTGTTACGTCTTCATGGGATAGAACTTTTAAGCTATGGGCCACAGACTAAGTAGACTATTACTGACACACTCTCTCTCAGTGAGACTATTCATAATTGGCTGTTATAATGGAAATCAGCTGTGTCAGTTGTAATGGACATGAATATTACATCACTATTCTCTATTGCATACACATCTGTCCTCATCACTGAAAAAATTCCATTCACTCCCACTACCAGATTTTCTCCCACTAAAATTGTGGTTTGATGTAACTTGTAAGTTTTTGATGTAAAATTTTCTCAAATTACTATCAAACAAATATGATGATGTCTTTGGATGACATCAAAAGCATTTGGTGTCTGATAGATTTTTTACGAGGTTCTTTGTTTCAAACAAACAAGTAATTAAACAAAAACAAAAGAGTCACAGACGTATTTTTTCAGGCAGTAAAATAACAAATCACTAAAAGTTAGACCACAACATTGTTACAGTTTATGGTTGAAACCATGGTTACACATCTGGGCACATTGTCAAGTGCATTTGACGCATTTCATTCTCTGAGCAACATTCTGTAGTTACATGTACATCATTCCCATTTTTAGCTAATCAATGCAAACGTTAAAAACACTACTAACATTGTTAAACATGTAATAGGAAGCATCTACTATTATGAACTACTAGGAATTGCTATTGAAAGAAGACATTTTATTTTTTATGATAATGACTACAACTACAGCTGTTAAAATTATTTTGACTGACATTTAACTTCACTATATGATGCTGGATTTTAAGTTCCCAAATTTGCCTGAGAAACATAGTTATATTGTACACATTCACATAGATTCAATCAGAGGTACATTACTTGGGGTTTGTAACTACGGTGACATGATACCAAGATCCCGTCACAATCTCGCTCTCGCATAAACGTTCCAACTCAGAAAAAATGCGAATGCGCATGCCCGAGGTAACTAGGATACTGGGATGTCCAGGTGGATCAAAATAGCTGCCCACGATATGACGGATTACGAGAACTATATTTTCTGTACATTTTCGATGTATTACATTTTTCACTATGATAGTGACAAGAAAAGTTTATTTTTTTCATTACAAACCTTGAACATTGATATTCGTCATGTCAGAAGGGTGTAGCCTCAGTCTCGCTATCTACGAGAAGAGACTTGAATGGGATCTTGACATGATGTCACCATACAGTACTATGCGAGTTGCAAACCCCAAGTAATGTACCTCTGATTCAATATAGTGTTTTTTACTTATCAATGAAAATAGTGAAATTAAAACCCAGTGGATATATCTTAGTAGTCAAAGGATTATTTTATTACAGTGAATTCCATGAAGGCATAAATGCTTTATATGAAAATTCATAAAATATTCATTAAACATTCATTCAAATCAAAAGAATTTGATTTAATGGCCTTAGAAGCGTTTCGGTCACACCATTACCCATGAGTCTTTGCAGATTTGCTTCAATCATTGGCTGATTTAGTGCCATGCATCTATTAATGTGTTGGTCAAAGTTGTTTTCAACCATCATTTGAAATTTATTAAACATTTCTGAATATTTTATACAAAAAAAAAAAAATTTGCCTTCATGAAATTCAATGTATGCATCTTAGCATATTTTTTTTTTATAAAATAAATAAATAAATAAAATATTTGTATTTGAATGTCTGATGGTCTGTGACACATTATAGCTGTAATCTGATTAAAATCTGATATAGCTAAAGGCTAAATTTAAATTTTTATATTTTTTGTTCATTTATTAATATATTTTTTTTTATGTTCTTGGTGTTATTTTTTACATATAAAAAAAAAACTTAACAGCAAGTAAAACAAACAAAATATTCAAAAATAACTGTAAAATACTCTGTAAAATTGAAGCATATACCTACATCTGATTGCATATACCCTGGTAGTTGTTGCATTCATAAACACATTTTAAGTCACTGGACATTGTGGGCTATAATTGCTGTCTAGGTATACTGTAATGGGGCTGACAATCTAGGTATACTGTAATGGGGCTGACAATCTAGGTATACTGTAATGGGGCTGACAATCTAGGTATACTGTAATGGGGCTGACAATCTAGGTATACTGTAATGGGGCTGACAATCTAGGTATACTGTAATGGGGCTGACAATCTAGGTATACTGTAATGGGGCTGACAATCTAGGTATACTGTAATGGGGCTGACAATCTAGGTATACTGTAATGAGGCTGACAAATCTAATGATAAGACACAATTTATCATTTAAAGGAGAAGTCAACAAGTAAATATGGTAAAAGTAAACAAATTATGTTGAAAATAATAATGATGTGACGTGACCCTGTTTTTTACAACTGAAAGGATTTAAATCAGAACATGAAATGAATGACATGATGTATAATGTTGTTGTACAGTTTCATCATGATCAGTCAATGCATATTGATACATATATATATATGTATGTGCCAAGATGGACAACAGATGTCTATGTATAACTGACATCTGGATCCTGAATGGCAGGAATCCTTGGTTATGATGAATTTTAACATTACAATGGCCGCCATTCAGCCATCGTGAATCTGATGGTCAAACAAATGTATTTGCGACAATATGTATGAAGTTTATATAAAGTTTAAACAAGATAGCATGCCATAAATACAGTGTTGGAAGACGGTTGATTCATCCCAATTCACATTCGTCCCAAATTTGATTTTGTCCCAAGTCGATTCATTCCAGGAGTTTATTGGTCCAGAACTGGATTCGTCCAACAAGTTCATTTGTTCCAAATTCATTTAGTCCTATTTGTTTAGTTAGCCTAATATGTGCGACAAGATCCTAACAACAAACTGTATCTAACCGTTGCCATGCAAGCACTCATTGTGCATACAACAGCATCCTGAAGGATGAACATTAGACTGGCAAAGTTTGGTTTACAAATAATTAAAATATTAATTGTTCTTTCAGTTCATTTAGCGTGATCGCGAAAACTAACCTGTCTGCTAAAAAATAATTCGCAGTCATGCTAGTTTTGACAATTATATTTTTTTTGTAAAACAAAAGTCTCGACTTTGCCAGTCTAGATGAACCCCAGTCATTGTGTCACACTCCACAATACAGCAATCTGTCAAATCGGTATTCATATTACAAGATTATAGTGTAATTAATGTTCCGAAAAATTTGTATTATGGAAAAAGTTGTATATTTCGGAATATCGGGAAAGACAGTAAATATTGTTGCAAGGTCATGTTGCGCTTTCCGATTGTATTTTATATGTATCAGGCCTGATTGTCTTGTTATCAATTTATAAAGGAAGTGACCTTGCACTAGATTGTAAGGCTGATTAAAGGCAATGAGACGACAGTGTATTGGGACGAATCGACTGTGAATCTAGAAACCACATTCACCAAACCAAAGTTGGCCATTTTTAATTTTAATCTGAAAAACAAATTGATGTGCATCAGGGTTTCATTATGTTCATTGTATGAACAAAGTTTGAGGAAAATCCATCCATACAAACAAAGATCTGCAAGATACTTGATTTTGATGAATTTTTGACTCCCAAGTTCAAAGTACTCAATAGGAGTCTTTGCGGTTGGTGCATCTATGTGTGTATGTGTCTGTTCAACTGATATTTCAAGAACCAATAAACAGATTTTAATGAAACTTTGTATGCTGATGCTCTTGGCTAATGCTTAGACGTGATTAGTTTTTGATTAAAATCTGTGCATATTAATTTCCTATTTGCATATTGATTAGCCAATTTTAAGCATTTTCACTTGTTTATCAAGTACCGTTCAGTAGATTTAAATGAAACGTTGTACATAGATTCTCTTGGATAATGCTTAGACCTGAAGTCAATGTACCGGATATATTGAATGTATCTGACATTGTGATATTACTATTGTATCAGATGACTATTTATGATCATCTGACCTCAATAATACGCATAACATCTTTTGCAGATAGAAACATGCAACTGGTGCTATAAATTTGTTGTCTGACAAGATATATGACCAGAATACCAAGTCACCAAATATGGTCATAGTATTATTGAATAGTTATAATTGTTAAAGCATAGCTACTCGGATCCTTTTAAATCATTGCTTAGATATATCAAAGACACTAGAGTTTTTGGTTATATTGTAAGCACATGTGCTTACTGTAACTATGATCAAAATTGGAGATATTTAGATTATTTTGCATGCAATAAACACAATTTTTGCTTGATGTGCTTCTAATATAGTAAATACAATATTACTTATTTGTATGTACTTAATGCCTCCAATACCTTCAGCACACAGGAGTCATTTCTAACCTTAGTTTGATTAACATTGAAATTGCTGCCATTCAGCCATCTTGAATCAGGTGATGAAATAAATCAACATGCATATGTATCCAAAATATATGAATTGTGTAAATTTGATTGGCTGAGGAATGTTGGAGATAAAGGTCCAGACATATGCATACAACCAATTTCAGAATAGATACGAATGGGAACTAATAAAAAAGTTGACCTTTCTACAGGGAGCACACTCGACCACATTAACTCTCATCTGGTCATGTCAATGTAAAAGTACATTAGTCTGACATGATAAGGGTTAACACTCATCTGGTCATGTCAATGTAAAAG